ATAAGGATGATTTGCAAATGGAAACAAAGCAGTACTTTCCACAACAGCATTTTTGTATAATAAATTAGCCTTAAATTTACGTAATCTCATTTGTATATTGATATTTCAGATGTTTGTATCTCCTAAAACAAAATTTGACAAACAAAAATACTGCAGTCATACTACTACAATATTCACATATAAGTGATTTTGAAAGAAAAAAATCCTTGATATACACTTTAAACATTAATTTGAATCGTTTCCATTCGCATTTTTTTCGAGGGAAAACTATGACTTATGGAATCAGTCTAGTATAGTTTGGAATGATATAATTAATCTGCAATAGGACTACATGTCTGTCCAATTTGGAAGTAATTGAATTCAAAAAATTTCCTCTGACTGCCAAATTCGACTCGGCCTATTGGCCTCTTCCAATTTTGTCAGTCCTCGGAATTTTTTTCATCCAATTATTTTTTAAATTGAACAGCATGGAGTCCTATTCCCTTTACTAATTATGCCAGTCAGTCAAATTTTTGCGGACATCGCAATAATTTCAATCACGCTGCTTCAACATTCACAATCAGATAGTGAATCTATTGAAAATGTGAAATACATACAACGTACCCACTCCCTTAATACAAAAATCTTGCCACACTCTTCTTTTAATTCAAGCAATAGCAGGTAATGATAAAGTGTGGCCGGAGAGGCTGGACCGCCATTAAGTTATCATCCGAGCCACTTGAAGCTAGGTCTAACCATTTGCAGATGTAATTACAAAGGCAGCACCTTCTCCTCAATTATATTAAGTCCCTGAGTGTTGGTCCGGCCGAGGCTTGAACCAACGACCTGCCATAAAAAGCGATCCTCAAACATCTGTGTTAACTAATAATACTGGCTGGCGGTAACAAGCTAAATTAGCTTAAATTTGCTAGCCTAGAGTGAAAGTCATTATCGATTTAAAAAACGTAGGCTCAAAGCAATTAGCATTCTAAAAAAAGTGCATATCAGCGCATTCTTGCAGAAATATTTACAAATAAGGTCATACTTTCTCAAAATTTGTGCTTCAATGCTTTCCAGATGCACGATTGCGAAATTTTGTATTAAAAAATTCGAAAATCGGATTCTGTTTCGGACTTAGTTAGAGCCTGGGTTTCTTGCGATGTTCCTTCACCATCGCTAAAACTGAATAAAAAATATATACAATTACAAAATACATTTTCTCGGAATTTGTGCTTCAATGCTTCTTCTCAATTAAAAAATTCTGGAGATTTCTTTGGATATATTTTTTGATATTTGCCTTAATTAGAGCCTGGCTTTCTCGTGATGTTCCAACATTTTTATCTAAAACTTGAATGAAAATTACAAATCAAATTATATCCTTGTGATATTCCTATATTGGAATTGCAAAAACCTGTTATTATGCTCATGACTATTAAGATAATTACGTTGTGTGCTAATTGTTTGAATCGGAACCCTGAATATCAATATTGTTCGAGAAGACACGTTTTTATGTAGACCAAATAGACCGATTCAAATTGTCTCAAGTTGTCTTAAGATCATTTTGAAGTACACAGCTATGTATAACACAGTTAATTATGCCAGTCAGTCAAATGTTTGCGGACATCGCAATAATTCCAATCATGCTGCTTCAACATTCACAATCAGATAGTGAATCTATCGAAAATGTGAAATACAACACACCCACTCCCTTAATACAAAAATCTTGCCACACTCTTTATTTAATTGGAGCAATAGCAGGTAACGATAAAGTGTGGCCGGAGAGACTGGACCGCCATTAAGTTTTCATCCGAGCCACTTGAAGGTCTAACCATGTGTAGATGTAATTACA